GAAAGAAGGACCGGTGCGAGGCCTGTAAAAATAATATTGAATTATATGATGATGATATGTAAATAAATAAAATAGTTGATAATATTCTATAGAAGAAAATTAATTATTAGATTTACTTTATTTTTATCTTATCTACTGTTCATTAGTCATAGAAAGAAAAATTATTTATTCTTCTTAATAAATCGTTTTTATGACATCTTTTTTGTTTTATTGAAAATAATGATTAAAAACTTTTTAAACAAGACAATATTCTAGTTTACTAAGAATATTACGCCTTCATATTAATGAAATAATGTTCAAAGAACGAGAATAAGAAGATATTACATCATAGGATATATCCTATATTTACTTTTAGAAGGAACTTCCTTTTTTTTTCTTTGCTCGATGCCCTTTCATGTTAGTTATTAAGGAAAAAATCTTATTCCTTCTTTTCCATTTATTTCTCTCATCTTTTATATAAAAAAAAGATCAGTTATGAGAAAAAGATCCTCTGATTGTTAATATCATGTTACTTAATGATATATACATTTGTATTATTTTTTTTTGTTTTTCTTTAATCTCTATTACAAACAATGATTTCTCGTAACCATTTCAACGGTCTGATTATAATAACATTAATTATCAATCTTTTATTTGTTAATGGTACGTTCTTTTTTTTCTAATTTTACCAATAAGTTGATTCCAAATATAAGTTCAATTATCTTACATTTTTTAAATAAAATTATTAAATATGTAAAAAAAATGAAATATATCTATTTGAATATGTTACTTAACTATTCAAAATAATTCAAATCAGTTATTTATGAAAAGATTCTTCAACTTTTTCAGACAAAATAGACGTTGGTTTCTTGGGCAATTTTCAAGTATTTTTTGAAAGATATCCATATTTATAATCTTCTTCTCATCTAATAAATCGAATATCTAAATAGATCTAAACGCACAATGAACAGATTACATGATTAGACTTGTTTATTAGTTTATTTTCATAATCGAATTATTATTTGTATTTTAAATAAAGAAAAATACTTGAATAAAACAACAATCAATTAATGCCTTCTGTAAGAAATGTGTCAGTCAATCATAAAAAAAAAAGATTCAACTAGATAGAAGCAAATATTCAATGAAGCTAATTATCAAATTCATGATCATTAATGAAGACTATTCTTTCTGTTCTATTTCAATGAATCTTATTTGTGTATCTCATTGAGAAAAAGAAAACTACTTCTTGTATTTAATCGAATGAAAATTTGATTTGAGTCTGTTTATGTTGCATAAATAATTAAATAAAATAAAAAAAAAACATCTGTATAATGTAAGATAAGATCTATATATCATTTCAATGATAATAGCTCGAATGATTATTTATTTAAGAGAACGAACAAGAATTTAATTTGTTTAAATAAGTTGAATTAAATAATAAAAATAAATAAATAATATTTGTATATAAAGATCAACATAGTCAATATAGAAAATGGTATGATCAATTGATGAATATGCATATGCTTAAATGTTATAAAAATAACATAAATCAAACAGTTGATACAATATCACCTGAATATGCTTATTATATGGATGGAAATCTTCTTTGCAAGTTTGTTTTCTTATTCTGAATTTTCTTTTACGTTATTTTCAAATTAAATATTTATTTTTTTAGAGTTTATAATGAAAGTTCATCATATCGTCGATGTTTATATTCAATATTTGGTCGCAATAATGTTTGCTCATTTGAACAATTTCCTTATACGTATGAATATTCGAAAATTTATTGAAAATTGATAATGAGTACATGTGCTCTGGAAAATGGTGAGTTCCTATTTCATTTACTATTCGTTTAAATCGAATAATTTTTTTAGATAATAATTGTTATCCATCATCATTTAATCAACAGATTCTTAATAAATGTAATTATTCGTTTGTTGAGAAATTTTCAACGAAGTGCAGGTCAGTTTTTTTTTTTATTAATTTTGAAAAAAAATAACACTTTTTTCCTTTTTTTCGTTATTTTAAGAGAATTTTTACGTTCTTTAATATGTTTGGAACGATATGAAATGGAATTAATTCCATCAACATATGGATCAGTGTGTTCACGAAATAAAGCTTATTATTATTATTATGGAGATGTTGCTGCTCGTCTTCAATTAGCCATTAATATTTGCGAAATTAATTTTACATTTTAAACAATCATTGTATTTAATATTCAACAAATAAAAACAAATTTAAACACCATTTTTATTCTTTTCTTTTACAATTATTATATGAAATATATATAATCAAATAGAATATCGAATTTTTATCGATTTCAGAATAAATCAATAATTATTTAGCCTTTTATTTAATATATATATCATATTTCATAATTAACACATTAAATAAATAAAAAAAGGTTTTTTTAAATAGTTCATTTAATATGATTTCTATTATGAATAATAATGTAATCATTAAATGAAGATTTACTTTTTCATGATTAAATATTAATTCTCGGAAAAACTACACTTCTTTCTGCCCCTAAACATAATTATTGATAATCGATTGTTCAATAATTATTTCATAAGACAATTTTCTGTTTTTTTATTTAAACAAAGGTATTTAAATTCAACGAGATTATTATTAATATAAATTATATTTCACTATATGATTATTATATTTGAAAACATTTTAAGGTTAATTCTTTGATAAATCTCATTTTATTGTTTATTATTTATGGGCAACATTCATAAACGATATCCGTTAGAAAAATCACTGTTTTTTATTCGTTTTCGTCCTTGAACATCCGGTGTTAACAGTCTGTGTTTTGAAAAATAACTTTTTTGTTCAGGTGCACTGTCTATTTTTCAATTGAAGCACAGTTCATTAACTAAGTGTACGAGAGGAAGAGATAGATACATAGATAGATAGATTGCCAATTGCATGATGTATTTCTATTAGGAATAGTACAATTGAATAGTAACTTGATAAATTCACAACAAATCTGTAATTCTACTTCGAATAGTGTCAAAAAAGCAACATCTTTAATCAGTAACATATCGTTACAATCAACTGTCATTAATCTAATCGATGAAGACGTATCAAGTGTTCACATAGAACTAATTATACACAGATCAATCAAATTGAATGCAATCCAACAACAAATACAATTAATTCGTCATATATTACTCAAATCCATAATCCTAAGATAAACAATCAATCCTTCAATAAATGCAATGGTAAACTATGTTCTAAATTTAACAATAAATCAATATTTCTTTAATAAAAAAAAACTGCTAAATTTCTTTTCACCAGAACCTTAGATTACCAACTTTTATTTCAATCTTCAAGTTTTATAAAATTTTCTTAAATGCTACGGGGCCTTTGAGCAATAGTTTTTTAATACATATTAAAATGCAACGAGATCGCAGACTCGCATCAAGCCTAAAAATTCTCTGTTTCACATGACACTCAACGAAAAAAGATATTGAAATTTTATAGTATGAAAAGAACAGGTTTACGACAAAGTAATTCACCACATTAAGAAAACATTTTTAAAAAGTAATCTGACTTAGGAGCACCATCCTCTTTTTTTGACGGCTTGTGGTTCTGGAAGACTTTACAACTGATGAACCTCATACTTTCATCATAGATAGAGAACTACCAATAAGCAGATACGTGTTTCAGGAAAAAAAATTTAAAGTAGATTTGGCGAGTTTTTTTGTAACATTAGTTTTCTATAGAGCTGCTTCCTGATACGTTGCGATGCTCATTAAGTTTTATCGGATATGGCAGAGATTATTTTGCAGATGCCTAAAACTGTATCTCAGAAATAAATTTAAGCTTTTCCAAAAATCTGATTTTTTTTTGTTTATCACACAATGACATAAAGGTCCAGATTCAAAAAGGGACTTGTGGCTTTAAAGACGTTCTAAGTCCAGATAGTCAAGTGAAAAATGAAAAAGCATGGTTTTACCATTGGAGAGTGCTTCCAAGCATGAATAGTGAAATATCTAGTCTAATTCAACGATGTTTAACAAAGATCATAATCTACCAGGAAGCGATTTTATAAAAATAAAATTAGCGTTCTCCAAAAAAAAACTCCGAAAATCTACTGGGAATTTTTTTTCCTCAAGCATGTATCTTCTAAGTTTTAGTGCTCTATCTATTATGACAAATTCACCTTCATCAGCGGTAATATCTTCAGGAATCATAAACTGTGGAAAAAAAAAAGAAGTAGTTTCCTTAATCTGTATTTTTTGAAAATCTTTTATATAGTAAAAATTAAATAATATCTTATCTAGGAAAAAAAAACTAAGGTCATTTTCAATATTTACACTAAATAATACAATAAATCATTGGATCACTTTCAATACTAATGTAACAATATTTTTATAAATTTGGTTTTTGTCTAGTTGCAAGTTCATTAAAAATCTTTTATGTAATGAATTATTTCGAAAATACTAATTTAGAACCGACATCATCTAATATTGAACATAATGAAACATTCCGCTCTCGTACTATTCAAAACAATAAACGAAGAAGATGTTCAAATGAGAGCGTGAAAACAAAACGAAATAATAAAAATCAATAAATAAAAAACATCAATGTTCATCGAAAATTTGTATCTCTATTATGTTACATGATGGTCATTAGTCATATTATCTGTTATATCAATCACAAACATTGTTTTCTTTATTTCAATACCTTACAAGAATATAATAAAACTAAAGAATCAATTAAAAATAAATCATATGTTGCTTTATTCTTCTATTAATCTTTTTTCTAACAGTTCATTTTCATGAAACGTTAACAGATATTCGCAAAATTTGCGAGCATAGCATATATTCTGCAAAAAAGAACTATTTTTTTCTCGCATTACCCAATAGTTCTCTCATATTCCAAAAAAAAATTAGATTCCTCTATTAAAAATAACGATGCTTCTCTCATCCTCCAAGTTGCTTGTCTTGAAACAAACGCACTAAGGATAATGGCACCTGAGCTACTGTCAATGTTTCTTACTCAATTTCACGGATTTCGCTGATATTCACCATTAGCTTTCATCTTAAATAATTAAATCGACCATGTGATAATAAATTCTTTACTGTTACAGTTTCATTCCATAGTAAATTAGGGATTCCAGACCTTTTCCAAAAATAATTTTTTATCAGAAAGTTCAAAACCATAAACTTTTGAAAATATCCTTCGATATATTCAGATGTGCTTTTCTATTACGACTATTCTCGGGGTCAGATTATTCCATTTCATCGATTCCACTAACTTGAGTTATTAACGTTGATATACCTTCTCATAATGACATATAATATCAATCGTAAAACATTAGACAATGAAACATTTTCAATACTACTAAAATATATCCACTTATCAATGTAATCTATGATTAAAAAAAATTCTGTTATAACTTTTGTCATTACTCAAAGAATTGCAACATATTGAAAAGTACGGGATTATAAAGTGCTACAAATTGAAGGTATGCTGCATTTTTGGAACATCTATATTTCCAGATGACTTATCTCTTTGACGTGAAAGCTTCAGTTTATTCCTAACTCAAATGTAACTTTCTCGTATCACAACATCACTGAAATCCATAAAATCAACTATGCATCATCGTCATGAGACAGACGAAATCTTTTCTATGAAGGCGTCACTAATTGACCAAGGTTGAAATCTAACACTTCTCAGCTTTCCCCCAACGTGATTTTGTCCGAACATCAATAGATGCTACTCTGCAACACATCTGCGGAAAATTTTTTACAACCAAATAATGTAAACGGAGTAAAACAACAAAATGATGCTATTCGATTTCAATCACTTATTTTTATATTCGAACATAGATTCCCATTAAAATCACTATCATTCATATATGATCACAAAAGCAAAATCACTTTCTATAACAGAGAAACACGAAAAAATGAAAACGTAAAGAATGATTCTTTTGCTTGTGACACTAATCATCACAGAACTATTATTTTCAACAAAATTTACTAGCTAACCAGACTTCACAATTCTGAATGACTGATTGACTGTGCTCGATGAAACATTCACTCTAGCGCGATCAAATATATAATGCTACAACTTGAATAAAAACAAACAATATGCATTTCTCGAACAACCCTAATAAATATCTATTTACTTATTCAATAAAACTAATTAAATATACTTTCATAACTTCGTACTCACACAAATATTTTCATGCGAAACTCGAAGACAAAATACAATTTTAAAACACGTCTTCTATAGACGTGCCGTTCCGCTCAAGACTCCTTATCCTTCTCTGGTTTACTCACAATGTCGCTGAATCACTCTTGGTCCATCAGCCCCATGCCCTTCAAGCGATTCCAGACATATAACATCTCTCATTTAATCAATAAAAAAAACCTAATAAATCGAATTTTACTAATCGTTAAGACTCTACCATCGATCGGCACTTGAACAGAATATTCACAATATCCATAACCAATATATTCTTTACTAATCATTGTTATTTAAGCATTTGTTTACCGGTAATTAGGTAACAAAGATTACCATACATTTTGAATTTAACACTTCTTTACTAATAGTAAAAACTCAACCAATCATTCAATGTCCCCATATCCCGAATATCAAAGAAAAATATTCAACTGTTATTCATACGAATTCAGCCAGAAATTGTTTTATATCAAATCATCTTCTAGTATTATTACATATAAAAATTTTACTGAAATCAATACCATGACTAATATACATAGTCATACAAGAAAACAATAAATAAAAACACTGATAACTATTTGTCAATCAAAATAAAAAAATGAATCTACTTTGATTATACAACAAATAAAGACAAACATAAACTAGGTAAGAAACAAACAAAAAGAATTCCATCTCAACTGCAACATATATAAATATATTTTCAAATCAAACAAAACAACAATCAGTACGAAATTTTGGATATGTATATTTATCGAATATTCACTGAAAATTTATACAAATTCGAAGAACCAATTGATTACAATGGTTGGTGTGCACTGTTGATCTTCGAAAAAAGTATATATACTCAGTTTACTAGCAAGTTCAGAGGCAAGAGTGGGACAAGCGAAATAAATGCAATTCAACGTCATATAGACAATCTTGGTGAACCATATAGTGATATCCTTACAAATGTAACCAGAATATTTCAAAGATTTGTCATTTATAGTTGCTAAACAGAAGAAGTGATACTTTATAATTTTTTGTTTTCTTTTTATTTTTTGACTTCTGTTTGATTCCTGTTACAATGTTGATATTACGCAAAAAAAATAACGAATATCTTTTCAATTGAATTTTTAATATTTTCTATATTTAACCTTTGGATATATTTTTTGTTGACCTTTCTACGGTCAACCCAATATACGTATCCCAAGGGTAGAGACCTTTTAAGAGATAGAAAAAGTCGAAATGGGGTACAATTGACAGCCCTGTTCTCAGCATAATCAACTTCATTATGTTTTACATTGTTATCTCACAGAGATTGCACTAACAGTTCTTTGTTTAGGAATAATAAATAAAAATCAACTTCATGTTATTTTGATATCGACTATCTCTGTTCATTATTACTGATCACTTTTTATACTAATATAACAATAAGACACTCTCAACTTTTAAAGAGAAAAAAGAACAATTAAAATGTAAATTATTTATTAAAGAATTCTATCTTACATTGTAAGAAAAACAAAATCTATATTACTCAACAATATTTAATTCTATATAATCGAATAAAACATTACGATAACGATATTCTCGTTTTATTGTAAATCCGAAATAAATATCCGATAATTCGAATACTTTTATTTTACCCATTGTTTCATTAAACCAATATTGATTACCATGTAATAAATAGTTTGATTCAAACCAATCAAAATTCATTTTTCTTCCATCACGTTCGCAATCCAGACCATGGTCAGCTAATGCATAAAAATAACATTCAACAGATTTTTTAATGGAATCATTTTTACTACACTGTTGATTAAAGTGTGCTAAGTATTTATCATTTTTATCGAGTTTAATACGACAGATAATTTCATAGACTCCAGGTAATATTGATTTGAATTTACCTTTTATACCAGCCTGATAGAGTATAGAACCAGAATATAAACGAACACATCGGCCTGTTAAACAATTTGAATCATATTCTTGATTTACGGTTATTGCATTAGTACAACTTGAATGATCATTTGAACAACGTAAATAAATTCCAATCATATCCACACCTAAGAAACGTTTGGATTCAATTAAATAGAAATAAATTAATTTATATAATGATATTTGAGAAATATTTTCTTTAGTTAAACTTTTAGTTTTATTCAAATAATATTCAATAAATTCTTCCATAGTTAAAGCCATTTTTATTTCATTTGTACGTGGATGTAATTTTTGTTTAATTATGCTATTATAAGCTATATAACCATCACTATTATCTTTACAATTTAACATATTCAATAACCAAAAACCGCACACATTTCTTGGTTCATGTTTTCGAAGACGTTTTTCAAATTTTTGTTTATCTTTTTCTGTATGATATAAAGCATAATCTGAATTTTTTTTGTTTTGAAATATTTCATAAACATAACGTTGATACAATTTTGGTCCAAAACGATTTTTAATCAATATCATCCAAAAGTAATCATCCTTTTCAATTAAAATATATAATCGTTTGCATGTTTGTGACGTATTTAAAATATCAATGAAAGATAAATATTTACATAAATGATATAAAATATGACAAGATAGATCATCAATAAACATTTTTCTTCTAAAAAGAAAAATATGATTAATCTTGTTTATAAATTTTTTTAAGAGATTATTTGCGATATAAATATAAAACTTAAATGAGCTATTAACAATCATTTTAAGTTAGCACAGCAGAGTATAGTCTGGATAAATCATGTAAGGATGATAGAATTGCATTCATGGTTATTTATCGTGTGATTTTAATGAACTTTTTCTACATTCTAATCAGAACTAGAACAAGTACAAGTATAAATACTTTCGTCTGAGGTCTGCTTCTAATCTGAGAATTTTTCGCATCGAACTGCTTCTTTTTAGTATTTATTCCTTCGAAATTTTATTGCTTATGAAATAAAATATTTAATAAATGAATTGTTCGTATAGATAGGTATAGCTGAGAAATGATCAACTCAAAAAGAATTATAGTTTCCGTTTAAAGAAACTAAAACTGCTCAAACCTTTATAGTATATTGATTTATGACGTTCTAATGCAATTCTTTTCCTTAAGATCATGGAATTAAGTCAAACCAATAGATTTGTCTATCGATAGGACATAATGCATTTGAATTGTACGGAAAGGGAGTCATAGTCTTGACAAGCTAGTTCTTGTTCTTATTCTCATTCGATTTTCGTCTTCATTTTTAACAGTGCTCAGTCTCATCATAATGCTTTTCATTTGGCGACGAAATAGATATAGAAATATATGGAAAAATCCAGGAAAAAGTTTCTAAAAAAAATTGGAAGTATCTGAACTGGATTTTATTCCACGAAAAAGAAATAACAAAGGAAATGACTAGTCCAATATAATATCATATGATTTGTATCAGTTAAAATAATTGAATATCATTACGAAAGATCGCCATCATCATTGCCTCGATCACCATCATCATTGCCTTGATTGCCATCATCATTGCTTTGATCGCTATCATCCTATAAACATTGGAAAAAAAGTTTTACGATAAAGATTGACGTTCAAAATAAAAGAACTTCAAACTTACTGATAGCGACATTTGAATTTTAGTTCTAAAAATAAATAGGTAGACTTTTTTATTCTAATTTCTAAATAAGTTTGGCTTATAAATACTTACAAATAAGAATCGAAGTTTGTTCTCACCTAAAATGCAAAAGTTTTTAAAGTTATTAAAAGAAAACTTCTAATAATCTACTTGTTGAATATCTTCCTGTTCTTCAGGCTTGTCCAATGTATTAGCTTCTTGTTGAATTAAACGAATATTTGTATTTATCGATTTGAAAATATGATAAAATGGAACGAATGATGTTATATTATTTTTCACCTAAAGAGTATAAATAAAGCAATTAATTCGATATACATTCTAAATCAAAATATTTTATTAATCATAACATATTTCACTTACGATATAATCATGTAATACTTCTAAAAATAATATCAACATTTTGATTTCACTCTTGATCTGTTCTTGTTGATTCAGACCCCCAATCCAGTTGAGGAATACATGTTCCGAACCATTACTGTTGCAAAAAAATATTATATACATGACTACAGAAATGTAAACTCTAAAAGAAAATATTTATTTTTATCAAAAATATTTCTCATAAGAATAAAATAAAATCGTTTGCTGTAAAAGTTGAAAGATTTGGGCATACCCCATGTAGTCACAAATGTGAAATTAACGCCTTGCAATTTATTTCTATTTTTTCTTTCTTTTAACTGGTTCTATAAAGTCAACAATCTCTGAAATTTGGCGTTTTAACGGTAACCTTTTCCTTATACTTCAACCTCGTGATGTTATTTTTTTTGAAAAAAAATTTCTTCGTGTTTTCCATATAAACACTTTAAAACGGCAAATTTCGGGCATTTTTAACTGTCTACATTCCATTTATACCAAAAGCGATGTAGTGCATTTGACATATGATTTGTTTTTCACATTGCTTTACACAATATATCAAAAATGATGGAGAATAAATAACTATAACTTCCATAACTCAATATTAGAAGCATTAGTAAGATACAATGTTCATTAATAAATAACAGACATCATGTAACATTAGTGAATAGAAAATCATGGATTAAAGAGTATAGAAAAGGCATGTAGTATCATTCTCTTCTAAAGAATCAATTCGTTAGCAAATGGATGTCAATAATCGAGCAGTAGTTGTCGAGTGAAAGTTTTCTAATGTTTTATTTTATCATCATGATAACAAGAAAAGTCTCTTACAATAAAAAAAAAGAGATCACATCTCAAATGTAGAATGGAAGAGTACCTAAGCGCTGACGAAATCATCTCTTCTTTACTGATAGAGATTTTTCTTTCCATCATGATGATAAAATAAAACATCGAAAAAATTTCACTCGAAAATGAAACTACATGGTTTTTCTATGCTCTTTAATCAATGATTTTCTATTCATGAATCTTACATGAAGTCTGTTATTTATTAATGAACATTGTATTTTACTAATGCTTCTAATATCAAGTTATGGGAAATTCAGTCACTCCTCACTAATCTTAACCATGATTCTAGTTTATAGGATTATTTCAATATAGTCTTTATATTTAAATATTGAAATTAGAAAGGTGGAGCGCACGCTGCAGAATATATTTCTATAGAACAACTGCTCATATAATTTTCTAACTCAACAAATTATACATCTAACTATAGAAATCTCTTGTTTACTAATCTATATATCGTTGATTGATGTCTGTTTATATCTAGATAGTCTACAAATAACTCCAATGGCAAAAAATATTCGGCAACCAAAATATTTCTACAAAAACAATAGAATCAACAGAGAGAAAACTGAACTGATATTTAATTCTTTTATTCATATGAAGTATTCTATTGTCAACTATCTTTTAGTAATAATGCACTAAATTTTCAATAATGAGTTGAAAGATTCGTACGTTTAATCATATATATTATTTCTTCAATCTTTAGTATTTTAGTTAAATTTTAGTCGATGAATGTTCTTGTTATTGAAGTGATATATATGGGTTTGAACCGCAATAGGAAGTTAACTGAAAAAGTGAGTCCTCGAGGATTCTTATCATCAAATAATATTTTTTATTTCAAAATGAGACTTTCTGACTCAACTAACTCATTGTTAAGAATTTCATCAAACGAAAATCAGCAATGAGTAGCGAGAATTGAATGAGAAAACTGAAAATCTAACTCATATACTCTTGCATTGTTGTAACAAATATTCATAGATTTTCTCGTCATTTTCAATTTTCAATTTTCCTTTTTTCTGTTCATACTAAACTTTCAGAAATGAATTAAATTTTGGTCATCGTTTTCAACCGTTTGAAGAGTACTGCACAATAGAAAATCAAACAAATTTGGAATAATAGAAAACAATGATTAAAACATGCTTCATTTCTGAAAGTTTAGTATGAACAAAAAAGGAAAATTGAAAATGATGAGAAAATCCATAAATTTTTGTTACCACAATGCAAGAGTACATGAGATAAATTTTCAATGTTCTCTTTCAATTCACGCTACGTATGGCTGAAACTTTCAGAATACATAGAGTAACAACCGATGTATCTCTGTGATATAAATTTGAAATAAAATGGTAAAACTATAGAGAATTAATCAAAAAATTAGATGCTCCGTTTATTTTGCGCAGGAGAATATAGAAAATGGAATAACGAATTAGAATTTTTTATAAACATCTGTTTAGCAATAAATGCGAAGGATAAATATCGATAGAATAAAGAACGATGTAATGAATAGTTATTGCTGTTCCTCTCTATATTGTGACAATAAAGAGATAAACAACATTGATACTGTTGGTCAACGTGATCGCTAACAAGAATGAATGAATGTCTTGTAAAGAAGAGTTTTCTCTTTCTATGTACTATATTAGAGATAAAAAAAATAATACAGAGTATTCCATAAATAGCACAACGATAAAAACTTCCAATATCTCCACTCTAGTTCAATCAAATGGGATGATGTTTTGACTAGTGGCAGAACTTTATTCGAAATTTGTTTTTAATACGGATAATATACGCTAATAATTCTATTAAGTATTATTGTTGACCTCACTAAAGAAATTTTATCTGTTATCGTGTAAGAAAAATACACGTGAAGCGTTCAATCGATAAGTTTTAGTTATCACCTAATATAACAGCAAGAAATCAAAACAGACGTTATGAATGGTACAACATTGATACGAATAGACCAAATTTTCAGAACTAACTTGTTTAAATGCTACAATTCGGATCACAAAACTAAAACATACAATTAATCTCTTGGGCCACCGAATCACCAACTTTCCCGAAAAAAAAACCAGTACTGTATGTTTGAAAATACGAGATATTGTAGTCGTTGATTTTAAACTTACCACTGAGAACTTGGATTATTTGCATCGATGTTGTATCGTTCATAGACTGTCTTTTGATTTCTTCTTGTTGTTCTCTTAGGTGATAACTAAAAATTATCGATTGAACGCTTCCCATGTATTTTTCTTGCATGATAACAGATAAAATTTCTTTAGTGAGGTCAACAATAATACTTATAACAGAAGTATTTGCTTACATTATGCGTATGAAAAAAAACTTGAATAAAGTTCTGCTACTAGTCAAAACATCAGTTCATTTGATTGAACTAGAGTGGAGAGATTTGAATTTTTTTATTGTACTACTATTTATGGAACACCCTGCATATGGCCAGGGTCCGTTTGTTTGATTCGATTTATTAATAAAACGAGAAACTCAAAAATTAGGAAATATAAGATTCCACAAATAATGTAAGCATAAATATAATATGATATTTCCCTATGGAAGTAGCAAAGATTCATCAAAAAAATAGGATTGACTATGAGCGTAGTAACTTTTGATAATCTTAGAGCGATAAATCAAAACGCAATTTTCACTTTTGCCCCTGCTTGTCAAAGCGGATTAACAGGTTTAGTCTTGCTAAGTGCTTACTCCTCTGCTGGACTCCTAAACATAAATTAATAATACTTACTTATTTGAGTCATTCGGTTCAAAATTTTCTTCAAAATTTTCTTTAATAATTATAACTAATGCACTTAAAACTTTGTCGTCTCTTGATTATAATGGAGCGAAATCGACCAATGTTTGTAAATGATGATACAACTCAAATGCTTCGTTATAAATTGTATTTGCATTTGCTGTTTCAATTTGATAATGTGCAATTAAATAGGTCACGACTTCAGTTTTAATGTGAGATAATGCCATTGAAGATCTAAAGAAAGAGTATGATCATGCATATCTGAGTTTAGTTTGAACTAAAAATTTTGTCTCTTCAAGATATAAAAATCAAAAGACAAGCAATTAAGATAAACTACGACTGTAAAGCTAGCGGAACCGGATCATTTAGCCGAAAGAAAGTAGTCATTCTATTGGACAATGTGTGTAGCAATAGATATCGTACAATTCACAAACTATCATTAAACAGGAAGACAAAAGAAATAGATTTTGAAAATGACCACCTAAGTGTGCTATACACTGTAAAAAATTAAGACACATGAAGTGTACAAGCAACACGGTTCATCCGTTTAACCAAGATGTTTCGAGCTGATTCTGATTGGTCGAAACATCTCTAATTTAGACACTTCAAGTGTCAACGGATAACCAATTTTAGGGGTCATAACAGAAGGCAAAAAATGAAACCGAAAACCGGAACAAGAAAAAAAATTATTATTGGTCATCATCGATTTGAATCACAGAGAGATCATTGACGGTCAATCATAGTTTTCGGTTTTTCGATTTCCATTCGGCTTTTTATCATAACCCCGATTTTAGACACTGATACGTTTAACTTTTATCTTATTGACTGGTTTACGCCAATGATTAAAACGTCTAGCATCTGTCTTTTCTAGACATTTCAGCTAATCTATTACCTAATAGTTCTAGAAAGGACGTACTTCCATGTGAGCATCAAGTATTACCGAAAATATTTTCGACAGGATAATTTTTTATTTTCATTAAATTTCATTAATGGTCAAATTTAAATCAACAAGTACACATAAAATTAGGAAAAATTTCGTCATGTTTTTTATGTTGACTTAAAATTGAACATAAGTGAAATTTATGAAAATAAAAGATCATCTTATCGAAAATACTTTCACTACCACTTAATTTTCACATAGAAGAACATCTATTTCAGAATTAGTAGATCATAGATTAGCAGAAGTATCTTAAAACTAACGCTAGATAGGTCTACAAGTTCAATTTAAAAAAAAACACGAGAAGAGAATTTTTAAACGTTTTGAAGTTAAAAATCGGATAAGCATTAGAAGTGTATCCTATCCTCTGTTGTATGTCGGATTGAATCTGTTCACTTAGTTGATATCAAAAACTTCTACGTCGCCACAGCGAATATAGAAAATAAATAATTCACGAAATGCAGAGCACCACGAAAAATTATTTATCTAAAAGAACAAAATATTTAATAAATATCAAAT